TATATTGTGTTTTTTATTAATATTGTTAATTTATTTGGTACCTACTATAATTACCACGATTATTACTCCGTTTTCATAAGGCCCACCTAATGACTACAACGATTAGGTAAATTACGATATTGCAAAGTTTTAATGAAATAAATAAAAAATGTGTATGAATATTTTAACTAATTGTACTAAGAATTTTTCTTTCATTCTTAACCCTCTCAAAAATTAATAAGCACGCCCCCGATTTGCTGTCAACTGGGCTTACTTCTACTCTCAATCATTATTGGTTTTAGTATAGATTAGTATAAATATGAAGAAATAATTTTTCTTGTACACTGAGAAAAATATTTTCAAAGAATTATTCTCGGATGTTTTGTTAATCAGGTTTGTAGCATTAGGAGGTGTAACAAATTCTTAATTCAAACTCGTAATATATTTTTCCATGTTGGAAAATGGAAGCTGTTCTGTTTTGGGTACATTCGCATGTGTAACAAGAAAATTATTATTTTTATATGTAGGTGAATGAACTGTCACCCATTCTCAATGAAAATTCCAAAATGTTCTGCTCTAAATAGACTATGGCTGTGAAAGCCTAACTTCTTCTTCTCGGTTGAAATTTCATCAAGGTGGTGATTTATTGAAGAGTGTAAGTTCTAATTAGTCTCTGTGTTAAAATCATCAATGAAATATTGTATAATTTTAAGAATACGAATTTTAAGACATGAATAAGGTTTATTGGTATGCATAATCTTAACTTCTAACAAATTATTTTAATTAAATGTCAAGTAAACAGAACAATTGTCGAAACAATAAGCAATAAAAAAATAGTAAAGAGTTTGTTAGGAGGAAGTAAGATAGTAATTATTCATGATAAATTCCTAACGGTGACAATCTGATTGGTAAAATATACATCAACATAATATATCTTCAATATATTAAAAAATCATCAACAAATAACCGTTGAAAATATTGAAACATTTATAAAACATCACAATAAATAACACTCTGTCTTTTTGAAATATAAGTAGAACAAACTTAATAGTTATCTCAGTTTTTTTCTTTGGTAATCCAATTTGTTAACAGTATGTTTATAACAAAATGTTTAAAGCTTTGGCTGAGGATTTCAGTGTCAATATTTTTTGGGTTTGAAGGCCGTCGATTTTTTGAATTTCTTCCTGACGTTTCGCTAGCGCAACACACTCATCGGAGATTAACTCAAGATGTATAAACCTCTGAAGAAGCTAGCCACTCTCGCCAACGAACCGTCAGGAAGAAACTCGAAAAATCGACGGCCTTCAAACACGAAAAATAGTGACACTGAGTATGTTTATATATCTCACTGAGTTTTCATCTATCTCGAAAACCCCTTCAATAATCATGTAAATTCACTTTCAATCTCTTGAATTCCTTGTCTGTGAGGAAATTCCATTTGTAGCCGAGCATTTGAGAAACTTCTTTCTCGACAGATGCATATGATCGGCTGTTGCTCTTGAGCCAAGAATAGAATTCATCTGTCCAACCCACTTCCTGTTTCCAGTCGGATCTGAGGATTACAGCATTTCTCCGGATGAACAACCATTTGAGGTTTCTACCATAGTAAGCAAGAAGTAGTACAGTTGCTGTTGAAATTCTTTCGGTGACTATCTGAAATAAGGGAAGGTATTTACATAGTTATATGGTGAAGTTAGAAGTATGGAAATCTGGAGGAGCAAATGTTTGAAAACCTTCATTTGGTAAAGAAATTAAATGATCGAATTTATGAAAAGGCAAGTAGCTGTATTGTTGACAGCAAATTTGGGTAAGTGAACTCATAATAGTAAAATTGTTGAAAAGGATATTGTGAAAATAGTATAAAGGAATGGATCTGATATACATTTTAAAATTTTTGACATGGCCATTAAAGACCCTCTGACGTAGTTTGGATTTATATTACTTAAAATATATCCCGTGTGTCAAATTTTAGTTCTTTGCCAGTAAATTTTGGCAAGTAAACTTAAATTTTTGAAATAAGAAAATTGTAGTATGAATCTAAGTTAACATGACCACTAATGATTCTATAATGTATTACTTGCTTGTGTCAAATTTAGATCTTTAATACCACTGGAAATTCCAATGGAATCAAATTTTAGGGATGGGACAGTTGGTAATACTTCAACTTGCTTCGATAAGATTTCTGAGTAGATACGGCATCATTCCACAAGTAATAATAATAATAATAATAAATCGACTTTATTCATCAAAAATAAATTAGATGAACAGGCGGATTATCAGCATAAGCTGTTTTTCAAATCAACCTAGTTTCGCAAAGCTTAAGTTTGAGTTGTGTAGAAAGAATGTCTCTATTGGGAAAAATTTGTCTGAGAATGTTATAAGACGATTTACAAAGATGACTGGTATGTTCAGAAAATCTCAAATCCACAAACCCAAGTTTTTGCATTCAGAAGTGAAAGGCAAGGCAACATCATTTATGTGACTCCAATAATCAAAACAACCAACTTGACAGAGTGGTGTGGATAGAGTCTATGGAATTCGAAGAGAAAATCTCGATATTTTATCCGTTTTTCCACCTTTTTTCGATCGAAATTCGTCTCGCCAGGAGTTGAAAACTCCACGACAAATATTGTTTTGCACTGATGGTCAAGAAGATCTACATCAGGCTTATTAGCTTGTGTGAGCCTGAGGGTGGGAAACGAATAATTCCAGTAAATTCGGCACTTCTCGTTCCCCACAACATATTCAATATCCCCCTGAACGTAGGGTATTACCGGTGTCCCGTCAATACCGTAAAAGTACCGTAGGTGGTAAAAAAGCACATTTAGATGCTCAATCAACGAACTTTTTTTTGAAGACAGATCACTGGAATCTAAAAATAACACTAAATTTCCAGGAGTGTTCATTGACCACAATTTAAAATTTGTGGATCATGTTAGGCGACTCACTAGAAAAGTCTCCTCTGGCTTTTATGCGGTTAGAGTGATTTGTAAAGAATTGGGGTTGAGCACTGCAAAGATGGCGTACTATGCACTCATAGATTCTCACTAACGCTATGGAATACC